AGGCAAACAAGGCTAATACTTTGTCACACATGCTATCTACTTACGGTGACTGTTTGCCAAATATATGAAACATGCAATTACGAATAGCCAACTGAAGTGCCATCATTATATGTGGCAGTTTATCCAAAATTATCTGAAAAATCTTTAGACTAATGGGACTAACTAATTTACTTGAAATTTTAAACAGTGCAAATACGAGAAAATAAGAAAGAATGTTAGATAGTGCGTGTGCGTGATATTCCAAAAAGCTCAATCTTGAACGTTCCCGAATCGTTTCCAAATTACAAAAAATGGATATTTTAACTTGATAAACAGAATCAGCTAATTAACGAAGCGAATTATGTATGAAAGTATAATTAAATAATTTCATCTTCTTTCATCTTACTTTCTATTGTACTTTTTTCTTCTATTCCGGCAAAAAAATCCTTTTAGCCTTTCAAATTAACTGTGTTCAAGCCTCAAAAATATAAAAGCTATTTCTAATATTCAAAAATATAAACGATTATTTTTATTACCTAAGTTTTACGCAAGGCTTGCAATTTATTGTGAGTTCTGAATAAAGCTAATCCAGAAGTAGTGTCTCAAGTACGTTTCACACCTGACAGACCGCGTCGGCGCGAACCGCAGGTTACAATTCAATAAAGGAAATTGAAATCTCTCTTTAATAGTTTAAGTACTGACATGTGACACTTCACAGTGCGTATATGCACTCATCTGCGATCGCTTGCAGTCTGCTGCCGCGGAGTGTGTGTGTTGTCTAACACGTGCTTTAAAGAAGCAAGTGACACGGTTTTAATAGCAGTAGAGCTCCTTGTGAAAGAGGAAGTGCTGCCACCAATCTTACCTATTTCTGCCGCAATGTGAGCATTACTGCGTTCCGATTTTGAAGGTTACGAGTGCTGGTGAAATTACAGACACATGGGACTTGAAAGGGTTGTAACCCTAACTAGCCTTGAACAGGTTCACGGCAATGAAACGGGAATCTTCCGGTCCACAAAATTTATTAAAGAAGTAAAGTTTAAAGAAAGGGCTGTAACAATAAAAACGTAAATGTAAAAAAACAGGTACAACAGTATAAAACACTCCCTACACTTTATTACTAAGGCACTTACCCCTAAATGGGCCGAATAACTGAATTACAGATATAGGTACGCCAAGGCTGTAGACTTATAAATTATTACACATGATTTAGCTTATTAAATGATTACAAACGTAGTAAAGAACCAGAATTAGCGATTATTCGCGATGGAGTTTGGAACAGCTCCGACTGTTGTGGCGGTCGAGCTGGGAGTGACCGTCTTACGACAACAAAATGAGAAAGTGAAGGAAGATGGAACAATTCAAATTTATATACATGTAAAATAAAAAATGACAGGATACAAGCGGAGAGAGGCGATACAAAGAGGTGAGATGACGGTGTAAGGAGGTCACACCGTCACAGACTTGTCAACTTATCCCTCAGATCTTTGTGATTTCAAACTCTGAGTGGCAATGCAACCGTTATGGACAGGCGTGTCGCTTACCACCAGGTAAAAAAGCCTCCCTAAGAGAAGCAACTTCTTCCAAGGCATAAAAATGATATTATGATGATCTCTCTATGACGCATCCACTATTTCCGAAATACTCGTAATAGTAATATCAACAATTTCTGAAGGCAAGCACAGAAAATGACGGCGAATTGGAAATATTATTGGCAGAAATATAACCTGGGGGCCTACCGTAACCTTTCCAAAAACAATCTTATTTCAATGTAAGCATGAAGTAAGGTTGTTATAATATTACTCATATTCGTACCGTGACAAACTTGTCTACCAAGAAATGTATTATTGCTAAAATGCTGAAAGAACAAATGATTTCCCAATATTGTCTATTCCTTACTAAAAATTGGAAAGAAATAACGCTATATGAACTGTATAATTCCATCTCTTTCTTTTCTGATGTTCCGAATCGTATTATTGTAGTATAATGTTAAAGTACTTAATATTATTTACATTCTGAGATTTGTAACTGCCAAAAAAAGAAAAGTATGTAATAATGAAATCTATTAATATTACGTTGTTTTCAATTGTTATTCCGCATTTTCATGAAGAAAAATAAATAAAACAAGCTGAGTCTTGATAGTCACGTTGTGAATTCGGAACTTTAGTGTAGTGTCAGCTGTTAGTTTCACCAAGGAGCATATAGGTGGCGCTGTCATAATTTTACGAAATAAACATCGCGTAGTCAACCGTGACCATGGGACCTGTTAAGGGCCCGAAACTTCGGTTTGAAAAAACAAATATACGCGATATAAATCCGGAAAAATAGTTTCATTTCCTATGTGTAACAATCGCGAAAACCTAAGCACTCGATTAAACATCGCGTATTTTTGTTTTACGAGAAATTATTTCCTATGTGCCATTAAATAAAAAATAAACAAAATATCGAAGAGATATATGTAAATAAATAAGTTCAACGTAACTTTTAGTCATTACAAATCAATATTAAGACAATAAAACTGAAAATAATATTGTTTCCATTGCATCCGTGTGCATTTTAAGATTGTTAAATTTGACATAAGAGCAATATTACTTTAATGTCAAAGTCGCGTCATGGTATGAACTGAGTGAATGAATAGTCACAAAGCTGCCAATAAAACAT